AGACATAAAACTGATTCAACTGTAACTGCAGTAAAAGATTCAGTCACAAATACATATTCACAATTTCAAATATGTATTTGTAAAAACATTGACAACTACATATTCTCTTCCACTTCTTGGTTATGTGATACTTTGTGTCAGTCAATCACATAAAATCCCCTCAAAATACACTGAAGTTTGTGTTTGTGGCTCACAAAAACAATGAGTAGTTCAAGAAATATGAATACCTTGAATCACACGTTCCAGAGTTCAGCTCAGACTGATCCAAGAGTGACTAAAGCAGTCAGTCCTCACTAAGTTGCCATGGAGGATGTATATTCATTCATGTCTAAAACTGCGAGACATACGAGAGGTGTTGTATCACACACTGACAAGCACCGCACTGCATCCTGTTAAACAACCACATCCTCGTCACGGAGCCTCTCCGCTCCTCAGCCTCCTCTCGCTCTCTCTCTCTCTTTCTCTTGTCCGCTTACTCTGTTGTCAGCCCCGAATGTGGCAGAGGTCCTTTCCTTTGTTACACACACAGTGAGGGGGAAGCCTGACAGCCTCATAATTCAACACCAGCTCATAAGGACACAGAGGAGCTGCGGCTCAGTTCAACAAACACTCACCAAAGAGCAGGGGGAGAAAGAGCTGAACAGAAGGGTGGAAAATGCTCCTTGTTCTGAAACTTGGCCTACCTGCAGTTTTTTTTTTTTTAATTAAAAGTTGTGATACCAGTGTAGCAGCACTGATACTAATCCACAGATCAACATAACAATCCATCACTGTTAAAGGCCAAGGAGGTGGAACATCACAAAAAAACCCTGAAATAACATCTGCACTGCGACAAGCTGTTTGTCCTTGGAGTAGATTTAGGTAATGGCAGCATTTTTTTCAATGATGTCCATTTATGGACAGACAAAGATGAAGTGTCTATCTGACCCAGTTTTCTATTTTTTATAGCAAGACTGAGCTCTGTGAGTTACATTAGCAAAGCAATTTTTGACTAAGTGCACTGCAAGAATGAATCTGCAGCATAAAACTATCTCTGATAAGGCATATCTAAGAAGTTGGAAAGTTACAGAATCAAAAGCAAAAATCATAAAATGATGACAGCAGCTCTGAATGGTTTTGTGTTTTTGTGGTTCAGTTTCATTTTTTTTATTTTTATTTTCAGGACTTTGTTTTCTTTGCAGTTCATCAACTCAGGGCCTTTCTGGAGTTTGGTTTTTAAGTGCAAACTTTTATTGACCCAATTTGGTTCAGTTATCAAATGTGGTTCAGAGTAAGAAAATCTCTTAATCCCCAAACCAAATGTTCACCATATGGTGGACTATTTTTATTTCCTAGAGATAAGAAAGAAAAGGTTTAAGATACTCCTCTTTTTTTTTTTTTACGTAAAATGCTTAAATAACCATAGAGACGACATGGATAAGAACAAATCACTGGCATTACTACATCTAAACAACTTTTGATAGTGTTGACCACATAGATGAGCTATATAAGGTCTGACTGATTGCAATCTGTACAATTGTCCTCAAACCCTCATCACACCACTGTCAAATTAACTGGAAATTTTTGATAACAATTCATTTGCATATTTTTGACTTAAACCACAGAGCTCCCCAAAAGCTCAATATAAGGTGCAACATTTTTTAAATCTGTGCATCCTACACATTTAGATTCACATAGTTGATGCAGAGTTCTAAATTGTCGTCCTTCCAACTGAACAACTGATGAAGTCTTTAATTAAATTTTTGATATGTGACAAGTTTTACAGAATTTTATTAAGTTAACCTAAGTTCAGTCTTTGACCCAGACATTTGGAGAGAGAACCTCACTATAAAACTCTGAGCACCATAAAACTCTGAGCACCAGCTGTCCACCGATCAGATCTGGTCAAGAAGTCTCATAAATGTAATATTGTCTCTCTCGATATACATATCTATCTTCAAATAGGAAGCAAGGGAAAAGAGAAGGAGCTTTCTATTACCCAGCTAAGTGTCAGTAGGAAGGAGCAGGGAAACTATAAGAATATGACAAAAAATATTTACATGTTTCAGTACCAGTAACTAACCCACACCTTGAATCTATACCACATACTGCAAAACGTTTAAAATGAAAGTTTCAGTGTTGGCAACAGATCCAATTTGTTTTTATTTTTTGGATCTGTAGCATTAAGATTTGAAATGTATGATTTTATTTTCAAATTGCCAAAAGACCAACCAAAGACAACTAAAAGAATTATTGTGTATTTGCAATATTATGAGATATAAAACTGATCCTGAAGTGACTGAATTATTTATTTTAAATTATTTACAATACAGATGTTTGTCTGTGTTGTAAAGGAACTTTAACACGGTGTTAATATTTTAATATTCAAAATTTTTAATGGCCTGGTGGAGAGTGCTAATGTATTTAAGCATAATGCCACTGCTGGAGCCATCCTTGTAAAAATTTGATGCTGATATCTGGCAGTCGGGGAAGAAGTTATGAAATCAGCCCTGAAGCATCCTTCAGTCTCTCTGATGCCTGGAGAAGGCTGAGGAGGCAAGCAGCCTGCCATTAAAGACCTGGTACTACTTATCTAACAATATCGAAGAAATCAGGATTGATAAGTCGCTTGCTTTAAAAAAGAAAATAACATTATTTTCTGCAAATGGTTCCAATATCTTAATGTCTCAAAATAGCAATAAAAATACAACATACATAATGAATCCAATGATGTAGTTCCTTCAGTGGAAGTCTCATATCACATGAATATGTTTGTGCATGGAATTAAAGGACTACTTTACTTAGTCCTCCTGCCCACGCAAGGAGAGAACTAACACCTGCCACATGCTAAGTTCAGCTGTTTGGTTGTTTTTTTAATCCTCTTTCTGCATTATTCACCTTTTACTTGGCAGATCTTCAGAAGACTGTGCAGACCACTGTATAATTTACAGCGCTGTGGCTGAATCACTAAAAGTATTTGTACTTTGCAGTTTGTTTCTATTATTCCTGCTCAGTTATTGAGTGTTTGGCTTTATAAGCCATTAAATCTGCATGACAATGAATTCTCTGGAGGAGAACAGCACACAGCAGGTGACCCACAAGCTGCAGCGAGACTCAATACAAAAATAAACAGAGGTGACACTCATGAAACACCATGTCCTCAACTGTTTTCTCCTTTGTAACATTCCTCAAATTCTACAAATTCTATTGACTCCTCTCCTGCACAGCCTCATTTTGACTGTTTGACTTGAGGCTAAGGCAAGGAGAGACAAAACACAGGGAAGGCCAACTGGCCACCAAACATACCACACAGACCCACAGGGGAAAATGTTCTGAGGACAGAAAAATAGAAAGCACAGACAAACAAGCTCCCAAGTTCTGACTCACAACAAACACTAGAAAAGTGAGAAAGTGCAATACCTCTGACAAAGTATGAGTTATCATACCCTTTTAACTTGTTCTCATTTCGTCACAATATAACTACAATGTATTTTCTTGGAACTTTGTGAGATAGATGAAATCAAACTTAGTGGAAACTTGCATCAGAAGGAAGAAGGTTTCTCCAAACTCGCAAACAGAAATGTGAAAAGTGCTGTGTGCATTTGGTGTGCTGCATCAATAATTTGTAGAACGTTTTTGCTGCAGGTAGGCGCACGTCTTTTCTAGAACATCTACTAGAAACTGAATGTTTTGCTCTTTGAGAGAGGTACAATCATCTTCTCTCTTTGAGAGGCACAGTTTTTTTCTCTGAATTATAGGGAGGTCTTTATTAAGTCCACAACATGTTTGAACAGACACAGCACCTGGTAAGCCTCCCCTGATGGCAACACCCAAGAGAGCTTCGAGGACGCAAGTCCTAAAATTACAAACATCTCATTAAACAGATGAGTCACTAGTTTCAAAACTATTTTTCCAGTCTGACGTTTAAAGTGCTTATTGTGTATGTTTGGGTTATACTTTTTGTGGTGAAATGTTTAAGCATTCTTTTTATTTAGAATCGATACACTTTTTTTAAATGGGCTATTTAGTTGACGTGGATCCAGAACATAAGCATGTGGTCTTTCCAGAGGCTAGCCGCCATTAATCATATTAGAAATTAGTCATAATTACTCTGAATTATTGACTTGTTGGAACATCCAATTGTGTTCAACATCTGACTAAAGCTGTCATAGTGACAGTGAGAATATTTTTCAAGAATCAAAATTAGGAATTCAAACTATGGGAAACTGTGGTGCCCAAGTCCAGTATATTTAATTAGGTAAAAATGTACTTTTATATATTTAAGCCTGTTTGTATATGATCCTGTTGTCATTCAGCCTAAAAAAAAAAGTTAAAACTTCCAAATTTATAACAGCCATACCTATAATGAGTTCACGTAAACCTTTCAACCAAATTATGTTCCATATCAATAAACGCTGTCAACATATTAATCATTTCCATCTGAAATCTCTGATGTAACTCAACGAAACACTAAAACTCCTAGTTTGTCATTGAACACCATGCAGGAAGGAAGAGACGCCCTGACGAGATCTTCTGTATGTTCACCATCGCACACCTACATCCTCTCAGCATGACATAAGATCACACTGAAGCCGGTTCACTATTTTTACCTTGTGGGTTCAGACTTGTTCATCTCCGCTGAACTGTTTTAGCTTTACATGGGAAACAGCAGGTTGCCGTGTTTCATCCAACACTTCATTTCTTCATTTCATTCAGAGGAGTAGGGGTGGCACAGAGTAACCATGGAGACTAAAAAAAAAATTATCTATTGGTGCTTACAGGCTGAACCACAGATCATCTTCACAAAATATCTGCTGCTCAGGAAGCGCCACAGGCTTTTACATGAAGCTTTACTGTACTTCTCTTGACCTTAAGCACTTTATTACGAGTTTGTCTGACTTAATAGTTTTACTTTGAGAACTTAGAGAGGTTATATTCAAACTGCAATGAAAACTGAACCCAAAATGCCCTTCATGTGGAGGAAAGGCAAAAAGAGACTCCAACAAGCTGACATCACTCACCTTGAAAGTCCAGATGGGTCAGATGCGGGTTACAAAGCTGCAGCCAGTGAGGAGACTTGCATGTCAAAATCGCAGAGCGAGCAAAACGGAGCCTGAAGCAGTTCTGCCGGGTGACATGCACTCACATGCAGCGCTCTTTCCCTCTGAAAGCATCAATTTCTCCACCGCTGTGAGGAGCAGCAGCGTGACGGAGGGAGACAAGGTCCAATTAAATCAAGTCTTTAGTTCCTAGTCGTCTCAAAGGAGGCGGGATCTTCATCTTTGGCAGCATCTTTTCCGTGACGTTTAGTGAAGGAGCCCCCCACTAACACTCAAACAGCAGAAAGAAAGAAAGAAAAAAATCAATCCAAATTAATTTAACCCTCCTCTTACTTGTCATTTCATACTGGAGATAGTTATACAGAAAAATCATGTTTTATATTTATCAGATGTCAAATACAACAGCAAAAACAATAATGATGCTACTGCTTCTACTGCTGCTACCAATTTCCTTGTCTATTTGTTTAATTTTGTCAAGCATTATGTTAAACCAAACGAGCTGAGTGCGACACAAACTATTTCAGAATTGCAGGAGCAGCTGGATGTTATCCTGTGCTGCCGCCTGCTGGATAAATGAACGATTTGCAACCTTTCGGAAATTACAAACGCCAAGATTATAATTAAAAGAAAACCAACCGTTCAGGAAATGAATGGTTGGGGTGTCTTATGAACAGAAAACTCTGAATTACAAATCTAGTTCTTTTTTTTAAAAAAAGAAAACAAACACACATTTAAAGAATGTGTTATATTTAATTTGTTTTTTCTTGATGCACAAAAGTAGACATAACAAGACAATTCAGCAAGGCAACACTTAAATAGAGGCTTCATAAGCAGACCTGCTTGCAGTCATCATCAAAACATGTTCTTTTTGCTTCAGATTCTGTTGTATTTCTTCCAGAGGTCTTCATGAAAAATAATAAGGGAGCTTTTTCTATCACTTCTGGCTGCAGGCTTTGATTCTCAAGGACTGTCAGCTATAGAAAAAAAAAAATAAAAGCCTTTTACGCCAGTCTGCTTGGCTGCAACAGACTAAGAGCAAAGGAGCACATTTTTGCTTCTCACGCTTTTTTTTTTATTACGAGTTTGAAGGTTGCTGCAGCACCTAATCTGTATCTCAAAGAGCTGAATTTCTTTACAGAGGAATGCAGCACAGCACAGCTCTCTGTGGTCCACTCGGGTTGACTTAGAAAAAAAACATAATCTTGTTCATTTATTTCTTTTCATCCATGTTAAATGGCTATTTGTTGGAACCAAGAAGACATCTGTTCATCTTAATGGACTTAGAGCTTTTCCAACATTCAGTGTGAGTTTGAAAGAAGCAACATTCTCTGAGGATTCCTATAGAAGAAAGTGTAGGGATTTTATTTAGGCTTTTAGGGTTGCACCCAGAGCCCTTGCAGAGTTGCCATGTTACGCTCTCAAACTTGAATTTATTTACCTCCGATGTTACTTGACAAAGCAGCACAAAAATGTGCTCATTCGTGAAGTACGAGAAAAAAACATTTGTTTTTATTTCTTTACTTAGAACCCCTTATGTGGTTCAACTGTGTGTCATTTGGTCTCAGTATAAGTGGAGATGTTCTGGAGATAGTTCAGTGATTTATTAGTGACCAAACAGCACCATAAAGACCAGATATCAAAGATTCAACAATTCAGAAATTAAAAGCAGGATCAGGCCATAAAGCAATATTTCAAAGCCAGGGCTATGTCTCAGGGCGAGTTCATCCAATCACCCAAATACAGAGAAAACATAGCAGAACTGCAGACAAATTAAAACAAAAAAGGGCACAGCATCATGCTGTGGAGACGAACTTCTTTAACAGCAGCAAAGATGCAGCAAAGATGCAGAAAAATACCCAAAGTAAAGGAGGTGGAACCATAATAATATGGGAATGATTTTGTTATGCAAGTTGTGGATGCACTCCATTCTTACACTGAAACACGACAGTGGGAGCATCTTGATCTGAAACTAGTCAGTGATGATAGGAAAATAGACGGATCTGTGACTACACAAAAAAACTGCAAACAGTAAATAAAATTCCAAAGTGTCATTAAAAAGTAACAATAGGCAGAGGCGTGCCATCCAGCAGGGCGTAACGTCAGTGTTATGTCATTACGAAACAAATTAGATCAAAATATTTCTGTATGACTGAGTCAGAGACGAGACTCTTTTTCAAATACAAAAGGCTGTAGTTTTGCAAAGCTTGTTGCTAGGTGACAAAATGTTCACGGCATTCAAAGGCAGTTGTAGAGGACGACTAATATTGCACTTAGTGCAGCGGCTTTTTTCACACATCTAATTTCCAGATGTTGTAATGAAAGGCTATCTCTTACGAAACACATTCAGAACAACCATGTATAATAACTAATAACAGAGGTTGCTTGACTTGACTCAAACAAATCTGTGACTGAGTCCATTTGAAAACATTATTTTCAATTAGCTGGAAAGTCAATGTTCATATTCACCCATGAATATGGTTGCAGTTAATCCCATAAAAGTTGTGTCTCTTCCCAGTGACTACATTGTCCCTCAGGTCCACAGCAGCATGTGTGATGGAGTTGTTGAATCTTCGATGTGCCTCTGACTTACTGAATGAGTTTTGGAGGTCTAGAAGGGTGAGGTTTGCACCCGTTCTTCCTGGAGTCTCAAAGGTGTTTGAGGGAATACCCGAAAAGACAGAACTCCGCGGCAGGATAGAGACTTTAGGAAGAGAGCTTAGCAACTCACTGCCTTTTGTCGCATCGTCCTCTTTATTTGACGATGCATCATGTAATTCAGAGCTGAGTGTATTTCCAACTCTGAGAGGTTGCTTTTTGATTTGTGGATCTTCTTTCTGCAGCTCCATTGAGTTTGTCTGCGGCTTCACTTTTGCCTCTCGTTGGAAAGAAGACTCGCTGCTCAGGTTAAATTGTTGAACGGTAGCACCTTCGCTGCTTTTTGATTCAGATTCTTGCATTAAACTTTCATTGAATTGAATTTTGCGGTTTTCCCTTTCTCTGCCATGATCAACAGCCCTTTCCTGTAAGATCTCCAGGGATGAATCAGTATGCTGCACATCTATTAGGCCAGTTTCGGACTCTGATTGACTATGACCCATTTGTCTCATATCTGTTGCTTTGTAATAATTATCCATAAGTTGTTGCGGCTGTTTTTGGTATATGGAAGATGGAGCAGTGCTTTGATTTAAATTTGACATTCGGAGATTAGCAAAATTGGGCCTGTCACTGCGTTTTGTCTGCAGTCTTTGTCTACGTCCTGCTTTGGGTTTTGATGGAACAAACACAGGATAGGACGATTCTCTCTGTAAGAAAAAAAAAAGCATCAGCATTTCAGTTTTACACATGACTGACAAAATTGTAAAATGTGGCTTACTAGAGGTGCAGAGTGTGAATTAATCCCAGTGAGAGTGATTGTTTTCTCCTTAAAATCATCGGTCTTTAAAGGGTTTGCAGGCCCCGATCCTGCAACATTTAAATCACTTGGTCACTTGAAGCTTTAGAAAATGATAAGATTCAAATCTGTGTTGATGTACATCCAGATTTCTAATGAAAATCCTTCTGGCTTCTCACCAGTAAAGTCCATCTGATAAGACGTGATCCAAAGTTTCCTCTCCAGGTTTCTCAGAATGTTGCTTGTGCGCTCTGATAATGACAGATCCCAGTGTCTGAGTTTTGGGTTGGGCAGTATTGTTTTTGGAGGAGCTGGGTAGAAAATCTGTCTCTCCCCTTTTACTGGTCTTGAATGCTGGTGTAAAATGATGGAGGGTAAATCTTGGCTTCGTTATATTTGGTATTATTATTGAGCAAAAATGTTGCATGTGTTAAATGCTTACATCCAAAAATCCATTTTCTCCTGTCCATGAAATGGCCTTTTTTCTGGATTTAACTGGGTTTTCCAAAATTTCATGTCGGTATGGACCTCCTGTGGGATGAAATGAATTAACAGGTAGCACAGTTAGCAATGAGGCACCTGTCTATTCAAAAACCACAGGTGCCTCCATATGATGTTCTCTCATAATTTCACAGTGAGAAGCGGACACTAAGAAATGTCGGAAGTTTGAACAAGGTAAATCCTTCTTTAAATCACCTGTATGTGATTTTAACCATTTTATGTGGGACTTCTTTGGGGTGTCCTAATATAACCCTCGCTCGCAAATAGCTTCAATTACATATTTTTTACAAAAAAACATAAGATTTTTTTTTTTCAGATTGAATTCCTTGGTTTACATTTTCAGTAGAAATAAAAAAAACAGAAGTTTAGATATCTTAAGTATTTGCTTGATCTGTTTGTTGCAGTTGTGTGATTGTCCTTAAACCATGTCTAAGTTTTCATTAACTTGTCAAGGTTGGTGTTTGACAATGTGAGTAACTTAGAGAGTTTCTACGATTTAATCTTAAATTATAACAAAACTCGCAGCTGGACAAAAGGCAAAAGTGAGACAAGTAACTAGAGTGGATGGAAGAGAAACAGGAAGTTTAAAAACTGAACAGACTGAAGTGTGACATAGAAACTAGCTGAGTCTTATCACAGGGATGCAGGGCAGCGAGGGGAGAATCCCAAAGGAAGAAGATCAATTAACATCAAGGAAGAAGATCAATTAACATCAAGGAAGAAGATCAATTAACATCAAGGTAACTGAACTAATAAAATTAATCCAATTAGAAAAAGCCAAACACTAAGCTCCAGAAAAACAACAATAATAAATGACCCAGGAATGATCAGGGGAAAACTAAAGCACATAAATATACAGATCATGACAGATCCATCTGTGCATGTATTTAAAAAAAAAAAAAAAAAAAAAACATTCTTCTGCAGGAATGTATTACAACAATTTCTCACCTATAGTTTTGCTGAGTAAAGTGACGTCAGGAGGTTTGTTTGGAATGAGAGGGTTTATGAATCTCTGTGAAGCCGCTCTGACTCCCCTCTCCAGGTCATCCGGGGAGAGGAACGAGGGGAACATGGCAAACCGAGAAATATGCGATGCGTAAGGATGCTCTTTCAGCGTAGCAGTCTTTATCATTCTCTCGCTATAAAAGAATAAACAATCAAGAGTAATTACACAGTTTACCTAGAAAAAGGTGTGGGAAGAAGTGTAAAACGCAAGCATTTCTTTCTAGATGAAATATACTCACAATAAATTTATATCAGTTGGTTTTGGTATGCTGGGGGAAAAAATACAACCTTTTTCTTACATTATCAGAAACGCCGTCGTATTTTTTGAAATTTCACAATCAGTTTATCCATGACGACTGAACGACAACTCACAGTTGGTCATTGAGGCGAGTGTTGCTTTTTTTTCTGACAGTGCTGGTGTGGGATGGTTGAGTGCCGATGTGTCTGAAAAAATAAAACAACAGAAAATGAAAACGCTACAGCGGTCAGTGATTCTGTTAGTGTCTTCCTGTGTTGATCAAACCCGAACCTACGCAGGTATTGTTCCTCCACACCCCCAGGCAGGAACTCCGCTGAAATCAGCAGAAGACTTTGGCTCCATGTGGCAACTGAAGGGAAGGGTTTACTCATAATAAATCATTTAATTCAAAGAGTTAGAACTATATGAATTTTCTGACTCAAACTATCTTTTAGAGGAGAACAAAAAAAAAGGGCTTATTGAATGGAAGTGCTTTAGATATTAATGACTGTGAAGCTCAATAAAAACATGAAAAATAAGATGCAGTCATATTCGCTTACCTGTCAGAAAGTTGTACTTCTTAAAGACTTTTTAATCTTCCTGTCTTAGACGTCTTCTCCAAAAGGAGTCTTAAAGCTGAGTTAGACTGATCTGGACTCTACCGGACGTCATCCTCTTTGCTTGTGACCAGAGGTGGGTTTAAATTTCTGTGCCACCTGGAAAGAGAGTGCGGCAGTAAACAATAGGCTAAAACCTGGCTGACACCCAATCCAGCCACACAAACTGTTTGCACAAATGTCTTCTTCCATGAACTCGAATATCTCACAACTTTTCAGTTTTGAAGAAAGGAAGTAAATTTTGCAGAACAAACTTCAGTTTGTCACTGTAATTCAGGGATCAGGTTGTGCGGATGCTTCCTGCCAAGCTCCTGCTTTTGTCGCAGTGGGCAATCACTGCCCAGGATGTCTATCTTCTACTCATCAAGTGTGGATGTGATAATATTACACGTTCACAGCTTGGTGCACTCATACAACTAAACATAAGGTGGAATGAAAATGCAGCTGGCTCCAACCCGACACTGACACCAGATCCAAGCTGGTGTTAAGTTTCCGGAGTCACGTTTCAGAGCCCCAATTCCCAGGCAACAGAGAAGAAGCTGAGGCAGAGACCTCCGATGTGGCTTACTAAAAGCCAAAATATAACTAAAAGCCTGTCAGTTGAAATTCCTTGTTCTTAAAAAAGTTTATTATGGTAAACTTCTTGTTTTTCTTGGACTGATGTTGAGCTCTGAGCTATTCTAAGCTAGTCTGTCTGAACGTAAAGTAGTTACCTCAGACTAAATTCAGGAATGAAGATTTGTCTGAGAAAGTCCTTAATTGAACCCTAAATTTGAAATATAAAAACAAAAAAAAATTTTTCTTCAGAAAAATGTTTAAATGTTTAAATTTTAATTAAATAGGTCAAATGATGAGAATTAAGTAAAAAATCCAAACCCTATTTTAGACATCAACTAAAACAAACACCTACAGTTTATCATTGTTGCACCTTTTTATCTAAGAAAGTATTATTAAAAAAACAACAAAAAAACAGAACCTCTGCTGTACCCAAAAACAAAATACTCAACAATAGGGGTATTTTAATACATAAAAAATTGTTTGGCCAATTTGTGTTGGCAGTGTCTTTAATGTATGCATATCGCAATGCTTCATTTGTGAGATTTTGTAGAATTTGCACAAAGATAGAAAGAATCCAGTTTCAGATGACAAAACATGTCTTTTGATCCTTTAAAATGAGCAAAACACCACTTTCATGTCTTTTCTCATTAAATAATAAAAAACCTGAAAACTCTACTGACACATAAAATCAATGCAACTTTCTTTCTCTCTCAACAAGGCACGGACTGCTTTCCAAAGCACCAGAGCTTGTCTCCTTTCTTACAAAACCCATATTCTGCATTCTGCTTTTTAATTGGGATTCTCAGGAGACCTTGTCTAAAGTCTTTGCAACATGCCCAAGCCCTATCAAGGAGCCCATAAGCTTAAGTCCAGTAACCAATTACCTCGCTATGCCTCAATAGAGCTGCTGCTGTACGGATTACAGTCCCTGCTGTGGCTTTACAAATGATTTCCCCAAAATTAAGTCGCTGTGCAAAAGGAAGCTGGTGTTCACCCTAACACCGTTTAAAACACAGAGAAATTGAACCTAATCAGACAGCTAACTTGCAAAGTTAACAACAGTTCCAAAGCTGTAAAAAAGTACTTTACCTCCCTTACATATCACTTTATTTTGTAGTTTGTGTGACAAGTTACAGATCTACAAATATAAAAGAGAAATACAAAAAAGTCATTTTACAGAGATTAATTTCTTTATTTAATGAAAAAAGCTTAAATTATGCGTGTAACATTTGTCATTCACATAATCGAATGAAATAATTTCTTAAAATTAATCAACCTTTAAGCTACTTAAAAAATTTCTAACGACACCCATAGCCCTAGATTTGTTGATCCTCTTAAATTCTTGCACTTTGTTTTAAAGCAAATCCATTTGAATGTTGGCACAGAATAAATAGAAAAAAAATGGCAGCAGAACACAAAAGGAAGAAGAGGGGAAAAAAAAACATTCTTTCCAACAGATTCCTCTCGTAAACTTGGCTTGAACAACAAGAAAAATAATCTCAGAATGATTTTCTTTGTGTGAAAATTATTTCCAAACATTATCCTTTCACTGTTAGGGACGCTGTTGGCATCAAGCCTGAGCTGACTGTCCCTTCCTGCCTTGTCAGTGGACTGCAGGCCTCCTAAAAGCAGTTTTGCAGACGTTTCTGATGTTTCTTTTATGCCAGAGAAGGAATGAAAGCACAACATGTGAACTTGGACCTCAAAGCTCACAGCTCTGAAGAATGTTCTTTGTATTATTATTCATTTTAATTTCATGTTTTTTTTCAAGGGAAGAAAAAAAAAATACTTCCAATATCACAGAGGTACAGAGGATGCGTAGGTGTTTGTATGAATGTGTGCGTGTGTAGCTCCAAGGTTAAACACTCATTCATTTTGCTTCTACTAAATATTTGAAATAATTTTTTCCCAGGCCAGTCAAATCCATAAAAGCAATGTTTTTTCAAGCTGCAAGCATCGATGTTCTCATATTTATTTTAAAGTTATGCAGTTACATTACCCAAGGAAGCTAAGTGCCCTTGGGTTAGTCAGAGCTGTTCATAAGGCAAAAGTAGACAGTGTTGAGCCTATCTATCTATCTATCTATCTATCTATCTATCTATCTATCTATCTATCTATCTATCTATCTATCTATCTATCTATCTATCTATCTATCTATCTATCTATCTATCTATCTATCTATCTATCTATCTATCTATCTTCTATCTATCTATCTATCTATCTATCTATCTATCTATCTATCTATCTATCTATCTATCTATCTATCTATCTATCTATCTATCTATCTATCTATCTATCTATCTATCTATCTATCTATCTATCTATCTATCTATCTATCTATCTATCTATCTATCTATCTATCTATCTATCTATCTATCTATCTATCTATCTATCTATCTATCTATCTATCTATCTATCTATCTATCTATCTATCTATCTATCTATCTATCTATCTATCTATCTATCTATCTATCTATCTATCTATCTATCTATCTATCTATCTATCTATCTATCTATCTATCTATCTATCTATCTATCTATCTATCTATCTATCTATCTATCTATCTATCTATCTATCTATCTATCTATCTATCTATCTATCTATCTATCTATCTATCTATCTATCTATCTATCTATCTATCTATCTATCTATCTATCTATCTATCTATCTATCTATCTATCTATCTATCTACTATCTATCTATCTATCTATCTATCTATCTATCTATCTATCTATATCTATCTATCTATCTATCTATCTATCTATCTATCTATCTATCTATCTATCTATCTATCTATCTATCTATCTATCTATCTATCTATCTATCTATCTCAGCCAACAATATTCTTTGTTGTGGGTTTAATAATATTTTTTGTTTTGTTTTGTTTTTACCTCCCCGACAGAAAAGTCCATTGAATTTCACATGTATCAACACATGGTTCCCATTTCTCACATGTGATCAAATATTTTGTTCATGTGCTTGCTGTTACATTGTGAGACTGCCTGGAGTGGTCCATCTGCAAACATGGAAATATGTGTTACACATGTTCCAAATCCGCATGTATACATGTGCCTTCTTTCATTATGAAAGATGTGAACATTTGTGTAACACATGCAATGCATGCATGGTTTACATATGTGATTTTCAAACGTGACATCATGGGATTTTTCTGATCAGAATTTTGCCATTTACTTTGTATGATGGGTTTTCAGGACTGTGGTATAGAGAGCAAAACTGCGGCAGGAGGTATGATTTTTTTGTAAGTCTGCCTATCACAGAAGCACAACTTGAAGGGAGATCACATATTTGCCAAGGCAAATACAACAAACCAAACCTCAAACATGACAAAAACTGGTATCCTGCTGATACATATTGAAAAGTGTTCTCTCTCTCTTACAGAAATAGAACAAAGGAATCATCAAATTTATATTTGAACTTTGGACATCCATCAATTTAACTCTGGCTGGATGTGTGAAGTTGCTTGTTGATTTCTTGTCAATCTATCTAAATTACAGCCACAGTTTAAACTCTGTTGCTCTCTCTCTCTCTCTCTGGTGACACAACGAAGTGAAAGAGAGAGAGAGGAAGAGAGAGAGAGAGAGAGACAGAGAGAGAGAGAGAAAGAGAGAGAGAGAGAGAGCGCAAAGCGCTGCTCTACATTTTTTCAGTTACTTGGGATAATATATAGGCGCCGCATTTTTCTACACCTCTGCACACTTACTCCTCTGGAATCCACCACAGACACAACTCAGGTCTTGAATGACAGATGTTTGTCAGCAGTGCCTCAGGTCGGTCTCAGCAAAATGAATGTGTTTGACCACCGTTGGTATTTTAGGAGAGAGTTTGGGAGGTTGGATTAGACGATGCTGGGAATGAATGGATGAGTTTCTTGGCTGTGTCCGTCTGGTTTCTTCTCCCGCTCGAAAACTCTTCTACTTTTGCAATCTTTCTTTCTGCTGCCATCATGACGGCCTTCGACTTCACGGATGTAGAGGCGTTTTTGGACAGCCACCCGGATCTGTTCGAGGAGTATCTGGTTCGGAGAGCCAAATGCGATCAGGTGAGCAGGTGGCTGAAGGAGCACCAGCCGTCCAAAGTGTCCGCGTCCGAGGAGAGGCGCGCCGCCGCCACGGACCCGCTCTGGCCAAGCAGCGCCGATGGACTCCGGCGCAGGTCGTCTCACATGG